TTCGATGGGTATGTACACTCGAAGACATCGTTGAAGCAGTTCGTGAACAATATGAGCGAGCATTGAGGGATAAGGTGGATAAGGAGTTCGAGGTTGATTTCAAGTCATTCTCTCAAATGGTTCCATATGCAACTACATATGAAATGGAAAAGCAATTTCAAGCAATGTACACAATGTCAAAATTCAAAGAAGTTCAAGCTGAGTTCACGGGTAAGGTTTACTGCGGCGTCATATATGTTTTGGAGGGATGTTTTGGGACAAAATATGAGGTACGGAAAGATGTCATTTGCATCGATCAATGTAAAAAGAAAATATTTTTTTCTATTTCCATAGAGATAAATGTGAAGTTGTTTGCAGCTGCCACTTGTTTGAGTTTTGGGGAATCATTTGCAGGCATTCGATCGCAATATTAATCCGTAACGACGTCACCTACTGCCTGATAGGTAAATACTGCGTAGGTGGAGGAGGGATGTTAGTCGAACATACACGAGGACCGTAATAAAATACGACAGGTTGGTCATTACTCTGAGGCAGTTGAGATATGACAGTATGTGTAAGGCTTTCGCGGAGGTAGCAGACCTTGCGGCAGATGATGAAAACCGAACCCATGCGATAATGGAATGGATACAAAGTGGAGTAGTGGAAGCAATACCATTAGTCAACATACCATTCAGTCAGGATCTCAGTGTACTGGTTCACAAAATACATGCAGCGTGAGCATGCGAGATTCTGAATTGGCAAAGAGAAAGGGCGTACCTAGAAAACTTCGCAGGAAAAACCCTTTGGAGTCGACCTCGAAGAAGACAAAGGTATTTTGATTTATTTTTCCTCTAAACTTAAACGGAATACTAAAAATAAATCTCATTCATTCTAGACGTACGTGCAGGCACCTTCGACATGCAAAGGGAAGTGACCAACAGCAATGCATAATAGTATACCAATGGGTGCAACCGATGTTGATGCATCTCAATGAGAACAATCTTCCACGTGTTCACCATTCACATATTCACAATTCTTGATGGTTAGTATGTTTATTACAGCATTTTCATTTGTTCTTTTTAAGTTATTGCATTATTGACGTTATTTATTATATGACCACAAGGAAAATCATTCATTTACACAACCATATCCAGCATCTAGTTTGATCCATCTGTCGTCAACACATTTTATGTTCAATTCCCAAGGTAAGAACATTGATAAAAACATAAATTTCTACGCCACAATGTCGTGTTGACTTATTCATTTCCATGTTGTGTATTAGGTCATGCTATTCCATACTACTATCACCGTGTACCGCATGAAGGAGACACAGGATTATGACTGGAATGGTTTCAAATCCTAAGTACTTCAATGTAGTAACCATAATATTAACTGCAATGGCATACCATTTATTGTTGTCGCCCTTTGGTGTTTATCCCTTTACTTTCCCCGAATCCATTGGTGGCAATTACTGTGTTCAAGTAGATAAATGTAGTAACCATAGCGTTTGCTGAAATTGGAATGGGGGAATCATCTATAGAAGTAAAACTAAGTAAGATTTTCTCCCAAAAGAACTGTGAATTTACATGATTTTGACATATATGGACACACGAGCAAGTAGAATAATTAAATTAATGATACATTTATTACCCTATACCCTTCTTGGCTTTGAACATATTAGCGCATTAAACTAAGTACATATTTGAATGATTCAAAACCTTTCACTCAGAAAGGGTTAAAACTCTTGTTAAACTTATTCAAATTCATACATTTACTGATCAGTATGTCTTCAGCAAAACCTCACGTTTGGTTTTCTTCCATGGAGTATTTTCCAAGTAAGGATGGAAGCAAAGCTAGAAGGCCATTACTAATATGAAAATGGATTATGCTAATACAACAAAAGTCACCACTATTACAGGCCACTACAGTCAACCCGCTAATACACGAATATGCATGATGCTAAGACACCAAAACAGGAACAACAAGTTCCAGGCAGGCATGCTAACTGGGCCGACAACCATACACTTAATGTGCCAAAATCAAAGTGGTTCAATATCCATTACACATTCAAATAGCTACAAATTAGCGGGTGAGAAACTACCCATCTTGATTGATTAAGAAACATACACAAATAGCTAGGAAAGCAACTCATACTTATCAACCCAACTCCTTTCGTTCGTGTATACTAATCAACCTTTTACTTTTTCTTGTAGATTGTCACGTTCGGCGATATATTGATTTCTTCTTCGTCTTCCAGCCGAACTTGAGATGCGAACATGCGGGATATATTGTCAGTTTCAAAGTGGCTAACGTCATTCGATTCACCGTTTGATTCTCCAATGTCGCACCACTCTCAAAATCCACATTTGTGACTACAACATTTGAAAAAATTTCCTTTGTTTGCAGTATCCTTTTCAACCTCAAAACACTTTTGAAAACCGTTCTTACACACCAGACATCAGTGTTTTGTCGGGCATTCGACAAAGAAATGGCCCTTGCGCCGTAACTGTAGCAAACTCCTGAATTCTTTCCACCTATTCTGAAAATGGAATCTAACAAAAAAAAACATCAAGTTAACTGAAATTCCTATATTATGTTGATTCAATCGAAATAAATCTGAGCCGAATCGGTATGGGCAAATTGCAAAGCTTCATTTCACAAATTCTGTAGCCCAACAAAATAAGAAATCAGTTCCCTTCCTAATTTGTGAAAATAAAAACCATAACAAATGGCAAAGATTTCAAGTATACCAACAGCAGGTGACTTTCAAAAAATCTGAAAATTGCATACCTTACACGAGACGGCGATGAGTTCGGCTATTGTGACGCCAAGGCCATCCGTGTGGAGCCGATCGAAGGGAGTCAACAGCCGAACGAAGATTGGAAGGGGAGTGAAAGAGATGAGGGTAGGTATTTGATTTTGGGAAAAATGGGGGAGAATTGACCGAAAATTTATTTCCCAAGGTTTGTGTGTCGAGCATCCAAAAACGGTGGTAGCTTACAAGAGGCCGGACTGCTTCGGCGACTGTTCGAAGAGGCCCCGATTAATGGTTAGGACCAAAAGAAATGGGAAAGATGAGTGAAACACGAGAGGGTTACCATTTTCATTTGGGAGAAATGGGGGTGAAGTGAGAGAGAAAACAATTGTTTGTTTTTCATTTTTTGTTCTTTATTTTTTTGTTAGGATTAAACCATTTGTACATTGTTTTTGTACATGGAGTTTGACATGCCTTTGTTAATTCAAAAGTGTTTGGGCGGGAAAGTGTATTTTATTTTAAAACTGGTCAATCATGCTGCGACACGTGGAAAAGTGTAAAACTTGATGTCAAACTCCATGTTCTTGTAGCATGATTGTTTTTGTTAAATGAATGCCACGTCAGTTTGTCAAGGAGTGTTGTACGTCTTTCCAGGTCGAAAGTGAAAACTAAATGTTTCATTAGTTGGTATCAGGTAGTGAATTTATTAAGTGCAAATATTGAATATGTCAAATGTTTCTAAATATATATTTTTTTACCTCCACTCTCTTTTTTTGGAGCAAAGATTGTTTAAACATATAGACAAAAGTTGAAAATCTAAATTTGGAATCGAATAAACTTTGACAAATGACACGTGTCTCGAGAATTATCCACCATAAAAAACATAAAATATTGACAGTCAAGCATGGTTAGAATTAAATAACAACTCATTAACTGGTTGTAAATTACATAATATGCAGTAACATACCAAAATTAAATTACATATTATCGAATACTTCATTAGCTCTCAAAATTTTCATTAGCAATAAATAAAAATAAATAATTTGAAACTGGTCTTCAATTCAAGTTCAAGTCCTACTAAATAATGTAAGACCATTGTTTCTTTTCTTATCCAAACAAGATAATCTCATGCAGCCCAATGAACGGAGGCAAAAACATTAAACCCTTGACTGGTAGAGATTAAAATTATATTTTTAGCAGATTTTGATAAAAGTTGATAAATTATGTGGTTTAAAAGTTTTGAGTCGTGTAAAATGTGTGGTTAAAATTAATTGTTAACTTTGACTTTATTTTTAATCAAACTTTTTTTAGCAGTATCAAACAGGGGACATTAAATATATCTCACTGTTTATATGGACACCAATTGTGCACCAACTATCCGTGCACGCGTCTGTGTGAAGTTGGACCGAGTGGTGATATCAAATAATTTGGACAACTATCTAGTATCTTGAAAGAATTTACAATTGTTCATGACAACCGAAAGCCAAAATGTGCCTCGTCATTTAGAAATTTGTTGGCACTAGGTGAAAAACAAGAAAATTAAGACAGTATTTTACTTGAAACACAGCATAGTCCAAAGTCTCCACATCCACATTTGAGGATACCTTCCATTGTAAAGGAACCATTCACCATGGTCCTTGTCATCTCCATAATCACCTGATAGTGCAACAGACTGTGCCCATAATCTCCTGCATTCCATCCTATCTTCCCATTTCTCCCCAACCAACAAGCCCAAGTTTCTTTCTGGATCATGCTATGCTGCAATTGGGCCAAAATGATCAAGACGAACTGTAACAAAAATCTTCCTACCACAGGCATTAACCTTTCCAGATCTTTTTGCTCGCTCAGTGTTGTAAGCTCTGTTGGGTTCAATCTTCGTTGTGAACAAAATGGTTGACCTTTGGAACTCCCCCTGAAACATTAGAATGGCCATAACAAGAGCACAGTTGATGTGGGATAATGGAATCACCTTGCGACAAATCATTCAAGTGTGTTTCCCCTGGCCTATCCATTTCAGGAAGCACTTGAAAGAAAAATTGTGCCCACATGTTTGAAGCAAGAAATGAGGATGCTATTTTAAGTACAATCTCTAAAAACCAGTTTAAATATTTTGAACTCGTTTGTCAGTGGGAACATTTATACATTTACTAGTTCCAATCAACGTCACATTACACCTAGGTTTTTTTTAAATCTTGTATACTTTGATATTCGCTTCCTTCTCCAAGAAGAGAACCGTAAAAAGAGTATTGTGTAGGCTGGGTAAAAAAAGCCTACAACCCACCGCGCTTACAAATTCAATATTTTTATTCAATCTGCTTAACAAGGAAAGAAGCATCCTCGTTGAGCTACCAAGAGATCCTCCATAATTAAGTTTCTCTATGTAACCCCAATCGGGCTAGCTGAATTCGCGTGTATCTCTTAGTCACCTTCGCTTTCTAGGACATAATGTCTTTATTTAATATGATTCAAATCGTCTTCTTATTATTAGTGAGTGTAGTTTCTACACTTATTCGGGGTTCTAAATGATGATATTTTGTTATTTTTTGGATTGATTAGTGCCTAGTTTGTTATTTATTTCTTTTATTAGGAAAAACTAATCTTAGATAAAGATTTGGAAGAAAGAATGGAAAAGGGCTAAAATAAAAAGAATTCAAAGTTCGGGGATTAAAGTGAAAATATTCAAAAGTTATGTTAGACCTCACGATGACGATTTGAGTGCGATGGAGGTCACGGATCGTCGCCTCCATGATGTACTCAAATCCGCGAGAGTGGCAAGACCTGAGAGGGGAACCCCCAGTACAAGGGAAATTTCAGTGTCGGATGGAGACCTGGTTCGAGATGCATATTTTGAAAGAGAGTCAAAACCTCGCACAATATCCCTTCCTTTACAATAGTCTATTAGAGCGCCC